GAAATTCTAGCGCATTCGCTTCGTGCCCTCCCAACAAAGGTTTTATTATTGCGAACGCTATTAGGCCATAAAAGTAGTCGTAAGTGGCAAACGATTCCGTGACAGGATGCAAAGGCCAAAAACCGCCTGGACTTCCAACGACCTTGCTCAGGTCATAGCTCAGCCGGAGTAGTAAACAACAGCTGTATTTCCGCCCAATCGGTTACGTGTTGACAGCCCTTGAGGTCGACAACTGTGGCGCAGTTAGCAAGATAGGGCGATATTTTAGATAATATTATTATCACATTTACAATGATGAATATTTTTACATAACATTTATCTACTCCCGAAGTAAGCGATACTTTTGCTATCCGTACAGATTAGGGTTGCCAACGTTTTTTTATGATAACGTTATCTAGTCCCAAAGTAAGAGATGCTAGTGCAGTTTGCTATCGGTACTTATCAGGGTTGCCAACATTTTTAGCCGACTATATTATTTATCAATTTAAAATATAGTATCCAACTATTATTATTGCAAAGGCTTATTTGAATAATGTCATATACACGTGTCGTGCGAACATAAATTACGTAATTAATGATTAATTATCACTTACCAGACTAGGAAGATAATAATAGCTAATTAGCTCTTAGTATGTTAATGTATTGTAATGAATAATTAACGAAATAAAAAAAAATATATTTCAATATTGTTTCTTTTCGAAATGTTTGCAGAAGTAACCGTTATATGTGGTATGTTATTAAATCACAAATATTTAGTTCTAATACATCATGTAAGTTTATTACAGTTTTTTTATATTAAAGTTTCACATTTATTTATCACGAAAGAACGTTACTTGAAACGATATGAAGATATTTCGAACAAAAGCCGCTTACAACAAAAAATACGGCACTTCAAATTTGACATCCGTACGTCTACTAAAATCTATTTTGCACACTGTGGTCAGTCGCATCGCGGAGATAAATAAACAAATATTTCAGGGCACAATTAAGTACTGATAAACATACTTTTCTTTTGAACCGACTTTAAAAAAGAAGAGTTTCTCAATTAGGTCGTGTTTTTATCTGTTACCTCGGAAGCGATTTTCAAAATCCTTTTTGCTATGATATAATAAATCTAGTCATAGATATAATAAATCGAGAGATCTCCCCTTAGATATTAAACCTAAAATTATTAGATATTAAAACCAACCAACCTAACCTAACCTAACCAAAACTCTTAACATTTTCAGAACTAAATTATAATTTCATTAGCTATCTTCATTATCTTCTATCTGTCGTCCATTATATATTATTTTCTGGTTATATCTACATAAAATTTTGTATTTCTCTTAATATTTATTGAGTACACCCCTGCCACTATCTTCTTTTAATGAATTTCTCTGAACTAAGGTTGCCTGGATGAGATCGCTGCTTAAGTGATAAGGCCGCCTGTTGAGGGGAATATTGGGCAAAGAATAAAAAATATTGTGCAAAAAACCGTGAATAGCCAAGCAGCAGCCTCGGCTGTGGCACGGATGGGGAGGCTCGTCTGGGTAAGTACCACGACCTCACAGAAGACCGGCGTGAAGTTGAAGTATAATACTTTCGCGTTTCGTCTGGTAAGTGAGGTAGACGGAGCCCAATTTTCATAAGGTTAACGCATCTGGAACCCTCGGGTGTAGCATATGTCCATGGGCGGCGGTATTCACTTAACATCAGGTGAACGGCATGGTCGGTTGGCAACTTTTCACATAAAAAATAAAACCATGAACTTGTCGACATTAATACTTGCTCTGTTTTGGTGCTCCAATAAGAAATTACAAGTGGTCGCCCAGTGGTCGAAATTTGACCAAAATTAATTATTATAGGTAAATGGTAGTGTGTGTTATGTTTGTTTTATTGATTTGATGTATTTTTTATGAATAACTAGCTGCTGCCCGCGACTACGTCTGCGTAGAATAGGCTGAAGGCGTACCATTCAGACAGAAAGACAGATGTGTAAAAATATGTGTGTATATAAATTATAGCCTATGTGTTATTCTCATGTATAACATACATACATACAATTCGCCTTTATAATATTAGTAAGGACTATAAGTGTGGGAAATTTCATACTCCTCCTTCCGCGCAATTTACGTAAAAAAGGGGTATAAAGTTTTTGCTTCACGTATTAATATATAGATTCCATTTACTTTTCAGTACTAGTAATTGTCGTCTCTGAGAGCGGCAGTCGACTGTTTAGGATGCTGCGGTGGTAGGACCACGCAGCAGCCTCGGCTGTTGCACGAATGGTCAGGCTCGTCCGGGTAAGTATCACGACCTCACAGAAGACCGGAGTAAGGTGGAAGTATAATACTTTCGCCTTTCGTCTGGTGAGTGAGGTAGTCGGAGCCCAACTTTCAAAAGGATGTATATCAAGATGCACAAAATAGAGAACACTAATCTGTGCTCCCTAATGCTCTCCTCTATGTTCAAAGGCGAAATGTATTCAGATAGATAGAATATTGAAACGGCCAAGATAGAATATTGAAACGGAAACATTTGGTTACTAGCGTTTAGGTATTTGATGCTTCAAATACTTACGTCCAAATTCTATCTCCAGTAACCAAATTTACAGATAGATACCACATAGAAACCAGTCGGTTACTTTGTTACATTTATGCTTCACCACTGTACGGTGGGCGTAGAAGAGGCCTTATATGTTTATAGTTAAACTATTAATAACACAAGGCTTTACTAATTTAAGAAGATAATTGCAAACTTTGTTCGTTCCTCATAAACAAACATAGTCAAATCAATCGTTATCAAAATTGATAAACATATCAGTCTGATTATGGCAACCATAAGAAATTAGTAAAGAGAAATCATTAAGAATGGTACTTCCGGAATCATTAGGAAAACTGAAAACTTTTTTAGAAATCAGTCAGGTCGATTAGTGGTTAAAAACCTACAAAACTTACAAAAGATTCCAAGTTTTTAATATGGTAAAAATTAATGATTTAAGAAAACCGAAGGTCATCGCAAAAATCTATGAAAAAAGGAATGAGACTCCATTACCACTGTATGCAAGAAGCCTTTAATGTATAATATAAATGTGACATATACTTAATGTAATATATATACTAATAATGCTGTAGGTAAATATAGTGCCGTATGTGGAGTACAGATAGGGTTGCCAACTGTTTTAAAGGAAAATAAAGTATCACATTTTCAATGTGAAACTTTATTACGATAATAAATTTTTCAAAATTGTATCTATTTCTCCACTTGAAGATCGAATATATTTGTATGCTTCTAGCACACACTCACTTTTCTTGGGATAAAATTGTTTTTGTAAAGTCGTATATTATTAACATCAGAAGCTTCTAAATTGAAAATGTTCTGTTTCAACATAAAATTATCCATAAAGTTAAGCAATTATCCATATAGGTGTAAATTATTAAAACTTTCGTGAGACATAATAATTTCTTGTATTTACGCGATTACACATTATAAATGAAACAAATTTTACGGATTTATCGCGTTTATTTTTAATTTTAATTCCCGACGTTTCGAACCCTTTACAGTGTTCATGGTCACGGGACAGACTGAGGTGTTAGACGTCTGATTGTCATAGTTAACCCGGGCTACCGTCAGTTTTTGAATTATTAATCGGACACAAAATTAATAATTCAAAAACTGACGGTAGCCCGGGTTAACTATGACATCAGACGTCTAATCTGTCCCGTGACCATGAACGCTTTAAAGGGTTCGAAAGTCGGGAATTAAAATTTCTAAATGTAAAATTTGTTTATATATATTAATCTTATCCTTTAAACGAGCAATTCTTGTATATATATATAATCGGAATCTCAGAAATGGCTCCAGCGATTTTCATGAAATTTAGTATGTGCGTAGATTCGGGGGCGAAAAATCAATCTAGCTAGGTTTCATTTTTAGAAAATGTCCTTTTATCCCTGTTTTCAGAGAATGAAAAATATAATTCGAATATGACGGTAAATTTCGCCGCAAGAGAAAATGTCATAATAGTTCGGTCGGTAATCGAGCGGCCCCAAAACAGACGGCCGTGGTTCCCGTCACGATCATTTACACATTTATTTTTTTACTTTTTTTTCGATTCCAGATCATTGCTTCTTTATTTTTAATTTTTTGTCGATTTGTTATTTTTTTTCCTTTTTTTTTAAAGTTCTTTCTTTTGAGAAAAACATCAGTTAATATTTTCTTATTATTAAGTCGGTAAGATCGAAAAATATTATGTATATTTCATTACTCAGTAATTTGTATCTAAATTAAATTTCCAAAATACACGATTTACCAAAAAAAAAAACAAACCGAGCAAAGCTCGGTCCTCCGGGTATTGTAATATTAAGACGGCTGAACTCACGTAATATAGGTATATATAGGTATATTTACCAAACATAAAGTGGGAAATGTTATCATAAAGTATGGTTGGCAGCCCTAAGTGCAGATAATAAATATGTATATAGATAGACATCCATAAGCCATCAGTTGACAGCAACTTACAATGTATTCAGGGTCAAAGTTGAGTCGAACGTTGTAGAACGTTTGTTCCTTTTTATTAAGATCCTATATTGTGTTTGACGATCCGGGATATGTCATTTAAAAATAAACTGGTGTTTATGGAAATGTACAATTTCAACGCTTTCCAAAAAACATAACTGAAAGAGATTTGCACATTCACCGATGCAAATAAGAATTACGTTAATTAAATAACGAAAACATTGCATTCGTCAACAAATCCAATTAGGACGATATTGCTAATGTTGTTAAATTCGCGTTTGCAATATGCAAACACACCAACAAACGTGCATTAAGCAAATCGTAATAAACTTGTGTGAAGAATTAGCTTCAAAATGTTTAGAAATTACTTACTTGGTGTATGGTGATAACTCCGCTCTGCTGTGTCATTTTAACAGTAAACTAACGTTATCAAAGCTTAAAAACAAATATCACAGATTGAATAAATAATTTCGGCCGATGTTCACTAAAACATAACACTAATTGTCGTCGGTTTCGACGTCCAATACGCGCGAGAGTCTATCGAGTAAATGCTTTAATATGTAGTCGAATATTTTGTACAGGAATATATTGTAATAAATGAAGACGAACGAGAACGCGATTATAATACGGATGTCCCACGCGTACATAGGCACGACACGTCCGCGCGCTGCGGCGTACACGCGGCGAGTGGCGCGTTCTGCGTTCGAAATTTGAAAATTTGCGCGCGCGCAACCGATAGCATTCGGGCGTTTTAAGGTCGGTTATGGATTAGCGCCCATTGAGCATTTATAATGAGAACAGCATTTATAATTACGAATTTATAATGAGAACAGTAGTAAATCATTATGCGGCTGAAATGTGACACGGAAAAATGGATAGCCTTGGTTTTAATAAAGTTTGCCAAAAATGCAATAGAACGAACATAGATAGATGTGACATTTTCGCGCCGTGAGGTCATCGCCCCCTTAGCTTAGTTGGTAAAGCGTCGGGGCGCGAAACAAGAAAACGCAGGTTAAAATCCCGCAGCGCCGAACGTTTTTGTTCTGTGAGTCTGTCTAACTTGAGTGCTGTGACTACACTAAAAACAAAAAATAAAAAAAATACTGGCACTAAAAACATTAAAAAAATTAAGGGCAATGGCGGTGTCTCTCGTTACAAATATTCAACGTTTAATGTTATTTGTAAGGTGCTGCTTACTGTAAAAGATGCACACTTGGTGTCGGTAAGCATTGCTAAAAATGGACCAGAACGAACGTAGATAGATCAGACTAGTGAGGATTTCAACGCGAGATGTAGTGTTGCCGCAGAGCGGCCCTGGGTAAAGCTCTGGCCTGTCCTGAATTAAGTACAGGGAATTTTCGATCTCACGACAAAATTCGCGCATTATTCCTGGAAATATCAGAAATTGGTATTAACGAAATTATTTTTTTTTTCTTTACTTAAAATTCGCTTTCTAGTGCTAAAACAGATCCGAACAAAGCATCTTATATTTTCACAGACGCGTCTTAGGGTGGAGTGTGTATGTAGCACTGGCCAGTAACTGTGAATAAATTATTAATTATATTAATCATCACACAATATTTTTCCAGTAGCGGGTATCGAACCCGCACCCTCAGGTGCTAGAGGCAGGTTCCACTACGCCAAGCGGGTCGTCTTCAAGTTTGCCACAATAGATACGATCGATAGTGTGTATTAGCCTAACCGTTGCCTGGTAACAATTCCTATAGGATGTTTAATATGGATGGCGAACAATAAAGCCTAATATATCACGATCGAAAACGATATCAACGTTCTCTGTTATTAAACATGGAACATAATTATGTACTAGCGATTTGGTTTGCATTCATCCCTACTAATATTTTACTACTTACTTCCTTTCTAATATTATAAACGCGAAAGTTTGTATGTGTGGATGGATGTATGTTACTCTTTCACACAAATACTACTGAATGGATTTTAATGAAACTTTATAATAATATAGCCTATACATCAGAATAACACATAGGCTATAATTTATATACACACATATTTTTACACATCTGTCTTTCTGTCTGAATGTTACGCCTTCAGCCTATTCTACGCAGACGTAGTCGCGGGCAGCAGCTAGTGGAACATAATTATGTACTAGCGATTTGGTTTGCCTTCATTTATAATAACGCGATGTAAATAATGAACAAAAAAAAATAATGTAGATAAAAAAACTCTCAACGTATTTTACACAACCAGCCATTTAGCTTATTGGTTACAGCGTCTGAGCGCGCATCCGGAAGATGTGGTTTCGATTCCGATTTCCGATAGCGGCGTCCATTTTTAGAGTTCCGTACCCAAAGGGCTAGAAGCCGGTCCGTTGGGCATTACAGGGAAAACTTATTAAAGCACAAAAAATAAAACAATCGATACTTAGCAGTGTAATAAAAGGATAAAGAAGAGAATTATCATTTTGTGATATTTGATTTGTGATGACTAGTGAGGGTATTTATTTCGAAAACCGCAAATTTCAACACAAATCTAATATCTGGAGTTATTTATCGAAATTCAGAAACCTTCATTACGAACCAGATTTGTGCTGCACTCTTTTTAGGGTTCCGTACCCAAAGAGTAAAACGGGACCGGATTACTAAGAATTTATCTCTCTGTCTGTCTGTCACCAGGCTGTATCTCATGAACCGTGATAGTTAGTTGAAATTATTACAGATGATGTATTTCTGTTGCCCGCTATAACAACACATACTAAAAGACAGAATAAAAAAATATTGGGGCTCCCATAAAACAGACGTGATTTATTTTGCCCTTTGTACAGATAATGGTACGGAAACTTCGTGCGCAAGTCCAACTCGCACTTGGCCGGTTTTCTACAGATTTTAACGAAAAAAAGCATTAAAATCTCACTATCATTGATAGGTCTTGGCGGTTTCTTATAAATTACTTAAGCACTTTGCACGATCTATGTGATAAAATGATTTCTTATTAATTACGAACGAAAAGTCATAACTTTCTGACACTAGTCATCGAGGTTTGAATTGTGTGAACTTAAGTAGTGGAGTAAATAAAAAAGTGGTCTCTACATACTTTATACAAGTTTTAATTATTATCTGTTATTCTTATAAACTTTATCGACAAAAAGGTTGAAAAGAAAAATCCTCTGGGTGTGGTAGGGCCACGCAAGTGTTCGCTGTTGCACGAATGGGCAGGTCCGTCCGGGTTAGTATCAGGACCACACGTCTGGCGAGGCGAGTGAGGTAGCCGGGGCCCACTTTATAAAAAGTACATAGCATCTGTAACCCTACGGCTATTGCAATGTCCACGGGCTAAAAAAACTAAAAGGATTTCTTTTCTTAAACGGCTTACAATTTTTAACGTCACGTTTAAATTTGGAACAATATTGATAAAAAAAAAACTACTTATCCGTGACGAGGATAGAGGAAGCAGTGCAACAGGTGGTGCACCCGCATACCTTGCGCGCTGCGTTCGCAAGGCGAACGGGGGTCGGGAACAAACACGGTCATGGTTAATGCATATAGCGAGGCTCATAAACAAACGCGTAAATCATAGCGTATTACGCAATTCATAGACATCGGGATTCAATCGGAATACGGGATAGAATAATGTCGCTCCGTCTTGCTCGCACTAATTTTGAGTACAGTTGTATTAGCTGATGTTTTTGCTTTCAGTCCCGAGACTATTAAAGCTTCATCTGACGCAGAGAGTACAGTTGCGACCACCTTTGTTAATCGGACTCGTTTGACTATTATAATGCACTCGATGATACAGCCAAATTCACTCGCGCATATGTATAAATTTATACTGGCCGGTACTTCGAAACTAGATTTTTTTTTAAATAAACCGTACACCATATTTCCTTGAATTCCGCAACTTTTGTATTTCAAATTAACAAACAAAGTGAATACAAGTTAATCACGCGAAATTCATTACGTCACAAAGTTCAGAATATAAATATTTCTACGCACCTGAACAACGCAAATATAGCAATTATCATACAATGCCAGCGAAAATGTAACGGAGGTAATTGCTTTCGATTCGATTCCTAAACGAGAGAAATATTTGTGTGACTCGGACACACATCAGGGTCTGAGTGTTTGTCCCGAAGAATAAGGACAAATGAATTACGCCATTGTTTCGTCTACAAAAAGTAAATAGGTCGTTCATGGGGCAAAGTGTGCGCATGTATAATAAAATCCCACACTCGATATTAAGTCTGCCACTTAATGAATTTAAACGAAAAGTTAAAAGTAATAAGTTATGGCTAAAGCATATCATACTATTGCTGAATATCTTAACGACGCCAATGTGTGGGGTTAATACACGTAGGCTAAAATAAGACTTGTTCTATCATATCGTAAACTAATCGTTTTAAAAAAGAGCAACTTTCGAATTTCTTGCCGGTTTCATCTCAACAGAAACTGCTTTTCGAACCGGTGGTAACTTACGAACGCATTAATTTTTATGTAAAGTTTTGACGTTTCATAAGAACGCGCAAGCGTCTATGTGAATATTTTTTTTTTTGATTTTGAAAGGGATGACGTGACGTGGGCGCCCGTTTTACTGCAGGGGGCTATAAGCAGCTTGTACTGTGGCAATTACTAGTAAGGCTTGTCCGGGTAGGTGCCACGGGCTCACAGAGGACCGGCGCGTGGTGGAAGTATAAAACTTTCGCGTTTCGACCGATGAGTGGAGCTAAGAGACGCGCACGTTTTTAACCGACTTCGAAAAAGAAGGAGGTTTTTTTTTTTCAGGTGGCAAACGAGCTGGCGGTTCACCTGATGTTAAGTGATAACCGCCGCCCATGGACATTTGCAACACCGGTTGCAGATGTGTTTCCACCTTTTGATTTGTGGGCCCCGGCTACCTCACTCACCAGACGAAACGCATAAGTGTAACACTTCCACTTTACCTTTACGCCGGTCTCCTGTGAGGTCGTGGTACTAACACGGACGGACCAGCCCATTCTTGCAACAGTGAATACTGTTGTGTTGCGTGGTCCTACTAAGAAAGAAACTATTGTGAGTTTCTCAATTCGACCGTATATATGTATATTTTTTTATGTGTGTTCGCGGACAATACGGCGTTTGTGAATCGATCTTGATGATTCCTTTTTTGTTGGAAAGGAGATATCCCTAGGGTGGTACCATGAGGAACCCCGGATCTGATGATTACATCCCAGAGAAATCGAGGGCATCCCCCAAATGTTATAGGCATTATCAATGTTTTTTAGTTTTGGGTTTGAAGTCGGTTTTTTTTTGTTAAAAATTATAAAGTAACCGTGTACAGGGTGGCTTTTCTAAAGGTGCCCAAATTCACACAGGAGGTTCAGACTCGGTAGTATAATAGTTTATTGAAATAAAAACAAACTTCTTTATTATTTGTCAAAAAAATTGCCATTCCATTCCCTAAAAAGCAGAACTTGTTAACAATGCGGTATACATTCATAAATGCGTCATATACTTTTGAAACGACGTTGTGTGCGTGTTAGTTATGAATGATCGCGCGTAAAAGAAATGAGTTGCCCATAAATCAAGCACTTGTTGAGATAAGTCCAAATGAATGTATTTAATTAATAAGAGTGATTTCAAATATTTATCATTTTTATATAACATTATTAATGTCTAGAATTTAATAAAAAAAATGGATACACTTAGAAAAGCCACCCCGTATAATACTATTTTATACCCTATTTTATTAAAAGTTGTCAACGCATCACGATGCGCAGGGTTATTCATTTAACATCACCTGAACCGACTGTCCGCATTTCACATGACAAGTCAATTTTTTTTCGACGAAAAACAAAACCGTCATCAAATATGTAGCCCTGTATCCATTTTATAATTGATTTTGCAGGAGCTCTACAAGTATCTCCGGAGCCCAAGATCCAATACCAGTTAATATGGGACCACGTGAGAAGCACCAGCTTTCAAATAAAAAAGAATCATCAAAATCGGCTCACTCAATCGAGAGTTCTGAGGTAACAAACATAAAAAAAATACAGTCGAATTCAGAACCTCCGTTTTCTAAGTAGGTTGAAAAAAAGCTACCGGTATCTTGCTAATTTCTTTGTTATTATTAGATATGCATCTTTATTATTAACATACGTAATCTGTATACATTATTTCTCAAATGAGTTTTTTTTTTGTCGGTACGCTATAACTTCCTTAAATCTTCATCCGGTTTAATGATTGAAAAAAAAAAATTTTTGAAGCTCGTGTTTGTGGATGTTGACGAAAAATAGAAATATTATATCCTGAATAGATCAAAAAAAAGTTAATGTATTTATAAAAAAAAAGTGTCGTTTAAAAGTGTGTTGCAATGAATTCATAATAGCGCCATCTATTGACAATTTTCGTAAACGAAAGATAGCGGAGTAAACTAAAATTTATCGCTACCTTTCGTTGTCACGTACCTATTTATACATTATTATATTACCATTCGGTGACTGATTATGGTATTAGTATTTTATTTTATAGCTTAGATACGATATACCTTGTGGTCGGCCGTTAAAATCCCTATAAAATATAAAACTAATGCAGGCTAGCGAGTGTAATGAACGGGAAGGGCGCGCGATTAAAACTAATTCTATATTCAAACGCTCATTCCCCTTACAAACTTCAACACCGAAATACCGCGCTCTTTCAGTTCTAATTCTTAAGGCCCATTTACACGATGCCATTTTCTTGTACATGCAAGAGCAATAATTGAATGCAATAAATTGCGCGCAATAATTGTTTAGACCATGCAACTCATTTATTGCTTCAATTTAATTGTATACAACAGGCAAGAAACTGGCACCGTGTAAATGGGCCTTTACAAAGGGGCATAGATTCCCTACATGTATAAATAGTTATAAAGTCTTGTCTCTTATACTCTACGTATTCCATTCACTTCGCCATTACTTAAAGAGAAGGACGCAAACTTTGAAGCTGTTCCCGACGCGAGCCTGGGGTTTGAACCCACGACCGCAAACGAGTTGAAATTCATGTATCTCTATTCAACATGCCCCTAGCATTACACTCACTTTTTGATATTTTTTATGTGAAAAAGTGGCAAACGAGCTGGCGGCTCACCTTATGTTGAGTAATAACCGCCGCCCATGGACATTTGCAACACCTATAAGGTTGCAAGTGCGTTGCCACCTTTAAGTAAAGTGGGCCCCGGCTACATCACTAACCAGACGAAACGCGGAAGTGTAACACTTCTACTTTACGCCGGTCTTCTGTGAGGTCGTGGTAATTACCCGGACGGACCTGCCCATTTGTGCAACAGTCAAAATTGTTCCGTGGTCCTACCACCTTTACTGTGGTAGGGCGAAACACATAAAAAACAAACTTTTCGATTGTCAAAGTGAAATTGCTTCAACTGCCGTGGCATATCTGTGAAACTAAACGGCTACAGTGTAGGATCGGTGGGTAAGGAGATGTTCTTACGAGGCGGGGGTAGGGTAGGCCGGTGAGTTTAGCGGTCGAGCCTATCGCAAGGCGACGCGTCAGGCCACCTGAAAGGACGATGGCAATGTTACATGGTGCATCAAGGACTACCGCGTGTTCAATCCCCGGTAGAGGTAGTGATTCCCCATTTATTCACTGCGGTACGGCAACGCAACAGTGTTCGCTGTTGCACGAGTGGGCAGGTCCTTCCGGGTAATTACCACGACCTCACAGAAGACCGGCGTGAAGTAGAAGTGTTACACTTCTGCGTTTCGTCTGGCGAGTGAGGTAGGCGGGGCCCACTTATGAGGTGGCAACGCATCTGCTGGCCGACGGGCGTTGCACATGTCAATGGGCGGCGGTTATCACTTAACATCAGGCCAACCAGCTCGCCTGCCACCTTCTCAAATACAAAAAAAAAAACACTTTTGCGTTTCGTCCGGCAAGTGAGGTAGCCGGGGCCAGCTTTGCCATTGGTCCGCAACGCGTGTGCGGTGTCGTGGACGTCCACAAACAGATGTGATCCAACTTTCCGACCACTACGCCATAGGGTCTCATCGGTTCCGTATATAAAAAAAAACCGATGAAGTGTGAGTCGAACACGCGCATGAAGGGATCCGTAGCATTATTTATAAAAAAAAAAAAAAAAAAAAATATTAAATATTTTTTTATTCCGTTTTTCTTTTTACAGCGGCAACAGAAATACATCATCTGTGAAAATTTCAACCGTCTTACTATCGCCGTTCATGAGATACAGAATGGTGACGGACAGACGGACGGAGGGATGGACAGACAGGATTGTAATGTAGGTTTCTGAATTTCGATAAATAACTCCAGGTATTACATTTGTGATGAAATCATCGGTTTTATTACACTGTTTACACATTAATGCATTTGTTGCAAGTTGTTTGAGGCAATGTATGGACAAATTAAATATAACAAAGTAATAATTCTCTTGTTTATCCTTTTGTTGCACAGCTAAGTATCGATTGTTTTATTTTTTGTTCTTTAATATGTTTTCCCTGTAATGCCACCCTGGCTTTCTAGTCAGAGACCGTCTAGTTCGGAAG